TGCAGATCTTAAATATTCTTAATCTTCCAGGAAAGAGGAAAGGGATGCAGGTAAGACTGAACAAACTGCCCTGATTCAACTATAGCTAAATTTCCTGTCATTAGGGAGTGGCTACACCAAGTATAAATGTTTTATCTTAAATTGGCTTCACTTTAAATTCAGGATGGCTGGGCCTGCTACACCAACTCAAATACCTGAGATTCTTCTTGATGCAGTTGGAACGTGTCTCTGGCTGCCTACTGTTAATGAGCTGTGCTTTCAGCCGAGTTCTCTGGGGCAGTAGTCTTGCTTCCAGGAGCTAGGGGAAGTGATTATCCTGACTGACACAAAGCTTTGAAATCTTAAAAATGTTTCCATTCTGTTTCAGAGAAAAAAAAGCTAAAATTTCAAATTCTATGAATCAGTAACCCAAACAAAACAAACCAAAGTAATAGATTGGAGTAGTTGAAATTCTTTCACCTCAAATTTATCTGTACATATTCTGATAAATTAGCATGTATTTCTAGATAGCAAGTCCAGAACTATAAGTGCAATGTCTTTATTAAAACATCTTTATTTCTGTTTACAAGTGATTTCAAATGGTGGTTTTATGTTTTGAACGGTAAAAAGCCCACTTTCTGAACTGTTTTCTTTCAAGAAATTAGGACAATGAAAATCATCTTCAGAAAAGTTCTCTTCTACCCATCTCCCACCCTATCAAAATATAATTTTGGCAACCTGGCAGGCCTGTGCAGTGTTTTAACTCCCTGTTGTCCTCTGGCTACCCTTTTCCAAGCAGTGATGGCTTGAAGACTGAGGAGATAAGAAACAGCTGCTGAATGGCAAAGAGTTCCCTTGAGATTGATCAAATACAAGTAGCAAGTCTTAGGCTGCAGATGGAAAGAATAAGATAGTAATTCTTCACTGTAGTGATAACATTTCCACAGTAGAGACAGTGTATTTCTATCCTACATGTGAGTTTAGCACTATTTTAGTTTTGTGGACCTGTTAGTCTTTGATAGACTGGCTATGAAAATTGTTTCTGGTCTCTGCTAAGAGTATGTAGAGTTACAGTTCACTATTGTTCTGTATTGGAGCTTTGTAGTTTCACCTGCAGATTAATGTGTTCTAGTGTTCAAATATTTGTCATTAAAATTAGAAAATGTTGCATAAAGAATATCTGTATCAGGGATCCCATTATTAGTAGGTAAGGATGCTAGTTTAAACACAGACTCCTTCTACCTCAAATCTAGATGCTTGGACTTGGTTGGAGGATGCCACGTTTAGTTCATCAGTAGCTATAATGATCACGAAGTAGCACACTGAAAATGAGTGCTGCAAAACACTGGAGGCAATTGAATTTTGAAGCTGTCCACATAGGTAAACTATTTCACTGTAAAATGGTTTATTCAAATATCACCGTTGTCTCCTACGGAGAGCAGCAACTGAACTTTTCATATTCTACCTTTCATATTTTACATATGAACTTTTTCATATTCTACAGCATTTATAATGACCTTCACAGGCGAAATCAGGACTTGGCATGCTTTTTTAAACTCAGATATTTTGCTTTGTTGTCATAGGTAAGCCACTTTAACAGTCGGTGTTGAATAAGGACTTAACATTTGGGTTTGCACACAAATTCTTACACTTTATAAGCAGACCGCTTTATAATGTCCTGAAATACAATGAGCATGTGTAGTTGTTATGACCTGTTGGTTTTTTCCCTAAGCATTTGAAAGTTTTAAAGGCATTCAAAACAGATATTAACTGGATCTAATACTAGATCTGACTTCCATAAGTGACATAAAAGCTGATCCTGCAGGACACCTATATATGGATGCAATTTCATAAATTCTCTTCATTGTGACGGGAACCTGCTCATGTTTTAGTTTTGCTTATTCTGCAGCTTTTCTGTGTCATTTCAACCCTTCACCCTGTAAAAAAGGGATACTATCAGTTGCACAAGGATGTTGAAAGAACTAAATAATATATGAAGATACAAAACATTGTGTAAATAATTAATACCATTCATATTCTTAATAACAAAGCTATAATTAGTTCTGCACAAACTAAAAGGCTTCTAATACAAATATAAAAATCCTTCCATATTTTGACTATGTGCTTTAATTGTATAAAACTAAATTCTTACCCTCCACTTAAAATAAGTGAAAAAGAAAAAAGTGGTTTGATCATTCAAAACTGTAGCAGAATGATAGAAGTGTAACATGTAATCTTCAACAGTATAGCTATTTTAAAATCAAAATACCAAATAAACATGGAAACTGTTCACTTGTGAGTCCAGCATCAGCAGCAGAGCAAATCCAACACCTTTGCTAACCATTTACATTAGTGGTTAATTAAACATTTACATTAATGGTTAATTAAACATTTACATTAGTAGTTAATTACATTAAACAAACAAATCCAACAGAAACATTTCCCAAACAAAAGGAGTGACCTACAGGCTCTTTCTAATTACTACCCTTCCTCATTTGCTATTCTTAGCCCACCAGTGAGGATTTTCAGAACTTTTCTGCCTTTTGCTTTTCTATCATTCTTCACATTGATACCTTTCTCCTGTGCTTTTTTTCGTTGTGCTTTCTGACACTGTGGGTTACTCGTTGTACTGGTGGTAGCAGGGATGGCCTGCAATGGACATGTGGTTTGTGCATGTCCATATAAAGCCCAGATGAAGTCACTGTGACACCCTGGGACTGCAGCAGTAGACCTCTTTGGACGGAGAAGTAGGGATGCCCCTAAGACCCAAGGCAAGGTCTTAATTTTTAATTATTTTTTAAAAATAAGGTTACAAGGAGTGAATATTGAGATATATCCATGAAAGGCAACAGATAAAAAATTTTGGACCTAACTTTAGACATTTGCTCAACACATAACACTTCCGTACAGATACAACTGACAAAAGAAACTAGCCTTTCCCCAAATTCAGCCATTTAAAAATATGACTGGTTATATCCTCCTCAGAACAATAAAATGGCAGTTACTCTAGTTGAAGTATGAAAAAGTATAATGATTCCTCTTTTAACAGCATCAAAACAGTCACTACATTTTTGATAGAATCAGATGAACTCATATTGTCATGGGCAGCTTGTCTGCCCGTTGATCCATGGGACAGTGATGCAAGTGCAGGGGGTGGCTTGCAGAGGGAAGTGCTTCAGGATTAGGCAGATCTGTCTCTTCCCAGAATCCTGTATCGAGTGATTTAGAAAGGCAGGTGCTGCCACTGCTATAGTCCTGAACACACAAATGCGACTGAGCCTCAGTCACGTTTCGTTTCCTTTTGCTGGTTGGAATGGGCAGACGGTCGGACACATTTTCCACTTCTGAAATTCATCATATTACTTGGCACGTTTGCTGTTTGACTGAAGTACTGAGCTGGCTGGAAATGTCCCCGTTCCAGATGGCCAACTTCATGGCGTACTTGGGGCATAGATATGAACGACACTGTGTAAGCTAATGTAAACCAGCACAGACTCTGCTGTGAATGCGATTATATACCATAACTTGATGACTAAACTATTATTGCAATATAACTGTTTCATACAGAGTTAAATAGATTTGTTTCCCTGTGTATGAAATAGTTTTTCTCACGAAGGCTTCATCCATTGTGTTTTGGTTAAATTTCATACTAGAACTGTACATATAAATCCTGTGTCCAGTTCCCATTGATGTAGGTGTGAATTCCTAATTCCCTTGAGATATTTTGAATTTCCTAATTTAAGTGTATAGAGATTTGGCATTTCTGCCTCCTACATTAAAGTTCAGCAAAACATCTTGACTTATAAACAGGATGGAAAGGAAACTGCAAAGGGCATGTGCTTATATGCTTCCCTAAATAGAAATGGATATAAATCATGTTCTCCTGGAATTTTTGTGATTCATTTTAAAGCCTTTAGAAGACAGAACGTAGGTGACAATTTTTTTTACAGGTTTTTTTAGGACCTAGGTCTGTCATTGTACTGTTAATTCTCACCATTTTCCTTGCAAAACAAATATTTTAGCAGTCTCATGATTATGTTATAATTTGTTTAGCTTAAGCAACTGAAGAATTATTAAAATGTGTTAGGTTATATATTTTGTGGATTGCTAGCTCATTTATATTATCTGTCATCGCTACTTGGATAAAACATGCAATTAGATTTATGGATACAAAGTGGTTATACACAATCTGAGGAAGAAAATGCTAGAGTTTTCAAAATATTTAAATCATATGCCCCTTTCTGGTGTTCTGGAAGTGGAAAGAAATGTAGGTTAATTTAGAAGGGATAATTTATGATAGTAAATAAATAGACAATTTTAATGTAAAGTGGAATATGCTTTCTTAAACTCCTCCAACAGTTGGCATTAACTAAAGCACGATAAAATACTTTATTTCTAATAAGAACTAAATCATGCACAATTGAACTTGTGTTTACTAAAACTGTGGTTTTGCTAAAACCTTAGCCTGGCTCAGGTGTGATGGAACCCTGGGTAAAGGCTTTCACAATGGCTTTTGGAACTATAAGAATAGAAGAGTCTTCTCTTTTGAGAAGATATAGAAATGATATTATGATACTTTGGTTACCAGTCTGATGTGTATGTGTGTGTGGGGTTAGTTTTCTTTTTTTTTTTTTTCCTTTTTTTGAGAACTGTTTTCTTATTACTGCAAATTGGTCCTGATTACAAATGGAGTATCTGGTTGCTGTTCTGGCTCAAATGGAAATGATGCATGCCAAATTTCAGTGCAGCTCTAGCCAGGTAGTAGGTAGTGTTAACTGATGTCATTCAGTCTTTATAAAGCTGTTAACTCTTAAAATAACGTTACCTTGTCTTTACCACAGTGCATTTTCTCACTTCATGCAATTACTAAAAACGTCTAAAGTAATTTTGATAACAAAAACCCAAGACAACTGTTTGCAATGTAATTTCCTGTACCTGTATCCCAGCACATTTAATATTAGATCTCATTTGTCAAAAACAAGCAAGCAGATATCAGCAGCCTGTGTATCCTGGCATTTCAGGTGGGGAAATGGGAGAACAACTCACTGAGCCTGAAGTACTCTGTCTGGCCAAGGTACAGCTCTTTTGCAGACAGTGACCCAGATGATAACCATTTGAGTATTGTCACCCTGGAGGAGGCTCCTTTTGTCATTGTTGAGGACGTGGATCCTTTGATGGAAAGTTGCCAAAAAAACACCGTGCCATGTCGTAAATTTGTCAAAATTAAGTAAGTAAATACACAGTGTTCCTTTTCTTTTTTTCTGAGTGCAAAATATATTCCCCTATTTTCTCATTAATTCTTTTCTTTGCTTCTTTCATTGTATGATTGTGTTCTGATACTCTGCTGTTCTTTTCCTTTGCTTCCTATCTTTGCTTTTCCTTCTGTATTTAATTTCCTCTTTCTTTTTCCCTTTCCCACACAGTATGCTCTTGTTTGCACGTCTTCCTTTTCAATAAGTTGAAAGGTTCTGGTTACATACATGTAAGTCACATTGAATTAATGACAAGATAGTAAGTTTATAGTAAATTAAAAGTCAACTCGAATTAGCACTTTTCAGTCACATGAAAGAAGATTGCGTTCTAAAATAGGATTGTTTTAATGAGTCCTCTTTGAATCGTTTCCACTTACGTTGAAATATGCCTGTTTTACTTAGTCTTTAATGATTTGAGAACATCTCCTATTGAAAATGTATGTTTATGCTGAAATTTGGTACAGGATAAACTACTCCAGCATAAAATACCATTGTGACATACCATCTAGAGAAAAGTCCCCTGCTTTGATTGCTCTATAACTTTGGAGCGGTCATTAGAAATCAGTGGAAAATTTCTCATTGTGCATTTATCAGTGTTGTTTCACCCATCCTGTGCTTCAGTCTACATGTTTATGAACTGAATATAGTAGCAATGTTTTTTTACTGAGCAGATTTAGGGAATATAATGCATGTTTCTGACGATTTCCAGAGACTGCTAAATGGTTGTGCACATGCTTCTCTGAAGTCCAGAGAAACATTTTTTTTGCCATAACTGTACTTAGTCAAGTTCTAAACTAGTTTTAGTTTAATTTTGAATTCTTTCAAAGGCCGCAAAATATTGCCTTGGCTTCTGAAGATGCTTATACTAAAAAGTTCTGGAGATCATGAAATGAACATTTCAGAAAAAAAATAAAGGGAAAGCCCTTATCTTTGCACTCAAAGATGGCCTGAAACTCACCTTTTCAAAGAGCAGAAAAAGGTGCAGGATCCATTTTCAGTATGGTGAACTGCTGTGCCTTTATATAGCTTACATCTTGGGAAGTTTTCTAATTACTAAATTACATGTAGTCTTATGTATGTCTTGAGAGTAAAAGTAATAAATGTTTAATCTAAGCCTAAGAGAGAGATTAGTAAGGGAAGACTGTATGTATTGATGGAGAAGTGGAGTGCAGTATGCTGGCTACTGCAGCAGAAAGCATGTCATACAAGGTCTATCATTATCTTCTATTTATCATCAAGCAACTGTGTTATAACTAGTAAGAGCTATAAACGCCATATAAAGCATCCTGTGGATTATTTCTCCATCAATTCAGAAAAACATGGTCACTCACAAGTATGACAAAATGTTGTTTCACAATACGCTGAATCTTGCTGTTGTGGTTCTTCTGTTTTTCGCAGTATAAATGTTTATGTCTCTCTTCTCTGTTGACAGCAACTCAACTAATGAGGGAACTAACGTAAAGAAGTGCTGCAAAGGATTCTGCATCGATATCCTGAAGAAGTTGTCTAAAACTGTCAAGTTCACATATGACCTGTATTTGGTGACTAATGGGAAACATGGCAAAAAAGTCAATAATGTGTGGAATGGAATGATTGGTGAAGTAAGTTCTGTTAGGTAAAAGAGCTCTTAAGTAAGAACTTAGCAATGTTTGTTTTTAATTCTTTTGGAGAAATGAGGTATTCTCTACTGAGTAATATTGGTGGTGTCTTCTCTTTGTGGATCAGGTGGTATATCATCGTGCCGTTATGGCTGTGGGGTCTCTCACTATTAATGAAGAGCGCTCTGAAGTGGTTGACTTTTCAGTGCCGTTTGTTGAGACTGGGATTAGTGTCATGGTGTCACGGAGCAATGGCACAGTTTCACCGTCTGCTTTTCTAGGTATGATTCTCCAACCCATCCAGATCATTTAATTGCATTTCTGTAGAGTTGGGTAGGTTTCATTGTTCGTTAAGCAATACAGTGCATTGACATGTTTCTGTCAAGTTTTGAATTTTACATTAGGAAGTTTGTACCGTGTTGACATGCTGATTAACATGATTATTAGCACATGAGGATAGTGCTGTTGGTTTCAGATGCAGTAAGTGAAAACCAATGATAGTGATTTCAATATGAAAAAGAATCCCCCAAAATCTTCAGCTGGGAAAACTACTTCCTCAAAAACCGCTTCTTTACAAACTGATTTATGTTTGTTTAGCCCATTAGAAATGGTTTCATATCTTTTTAACGTTCACATTCACAAAATAATTTAAAAACCCCTTGTAGAATAGCTAAGAAAAAGAGACTTTCTTATGATTAGAAGAGATCTGACAGCTAATTTGATAAGTTACCTCTGGCTTCTGAACACCATACTATTGCACTGGAGAGCTTCTGAGTGTTTTCTGCATTGATGCAATTGAACAGTGGAGTTGTGATGATGCAGTTGAACAGCGGAGATATAGCAAAGAAATGAAAGGCTGGACAGAAAGGAGGTGGGATATAAAGAAACAAAGACTTTTGTCTTCTTTCCTTGTTTGCTTCTTGTTTCAATTGTTCATTTCTCCTTTCGTTATTTCCCTCTCCTTCTCTTTTAGTGCTTATTGTTTACTTCTGTATTTGGTGGTTAGCCTGAATTTACCTGAAGCTGAAAAGAGAATGAGCCATGAGATGGATCAAAGTGCCTGGAATGCTGTTATGTTCCTCATAGTGTATTTGGGCCCAGTATTTTTAAGGATATTTTGCACAGGAAAGTAGTGCTAGCGACACTAAAATAATTTAAGTGAAATTGAAAAAAAAAAATCAGTATTTTCCAGATATCTTACGGAACAGTTTAGTATGTTCAAGTCCATTGGGTCAGCAGTGATGCCATTTTTGCATCACTGACTGTCTGGTTTCTTTTTAGATTGCTAAGTGTAAGTTCTTCACTTCCACTGAAATCACTTGTAGCCATCGAGGAGCAGTTTGTTGGTGTATTATCAGCTACAAGTGGGCAAATAATTGGGTTTTCTTGCACAAGAATCATCGTTTAGCCATCGAGCTTATTTCTCATACCTGTTCCATAAAGGCACATTACAGAGATGATGCCAATAAGTATGACACAGTGAGTAATCAAATAACTTCCCAAATGCGGTGATACCTAAACAGATTTTGTTGGTGGTTAATGTTTTTGTTTAATGAATGAAAGACTTTTTAATGAAGTTATAAGAGGCTGTACTTTTAATGAAAATATTCAGATGGCGTCTTGTCTTTTCTATAAGTCACTGACTTGTAAAGTTAATTCTTTCTTAAAATTGCACTTGCGGCATGTTGAAATTATAATTTGAAATATAAGTACTGGGGTGTTCTCTAAATGTGCTGCAAGTGCAGTTGATTTTTACTATGGACTCTGCTTATCTCTTAAAAACCTGCTAACAGCTACCATCAAAAGAGAGGCTCCTTTTGCATTTTTCACAACATAGTTATTAGATTTCTAAAATGCATTTCATGTTATTGGTTTAGTTGGGCATATATATAATTCAAAAAGGTAAAAATAACCCCTTCTTATAAAGCTCAATAGAATAGCATTACTTTTGAAGAAATCTGATTTACTGCACCAATAAATCAAGTCTGTGCTCTCAGAAGTATGTTCTGGTTTTTTAGACGTAGATGAAACTGCTGCTTTACTGGAATTGACTGTGTATTTCGATGAGGTGTGCATAGTAGTAAAATGCTTTGCCGTGCAAAATATGATCAGGCAGATAACTGAATTTATTCACAGACTGATTTTGTTTCAATTAAGTGAATGTCTAAGAATAGAGTCATCTTACATAATTTTTTAAAAATATTTTTTAAAATCTGTCAAATACAGTATTTTTTTTTAAATAGCACTTGATTACAGTTCATGAAATACCTGTTTTTCTGATTTGTTACTATGAATGTAGACAAGTACAGGATTTTGTCTGAGCTAGATTTTCCATTCAGTGGTTGTGTCCAATATATCTAAGTAACTGATGGGCTGACAGCCTCTTCCTCATTATCTGCTGTGTTCTGATTCTGATGTGGGTGTCTCCTTCAAATGAGAATTTTATCCACATTAAAACATTTTCATATCATACTAAAATTCATATACACTAGATCCACAAATAAATTTTTTGAAGATTCTGTGGAGATTTGATTCAACTTTATTTAAAAAAACAAACAAAATAAGGGAAACCTCAAATCCGCGTTTCTATATTTTTAAGAGGGAGAGAGTCATAGGTGAGGTCAGTTTTCTTTTTTGGGAGCATTGGTGGAATAGGAAATCTATGCCCCTATTTATTTTATGTATTATTTAAGTATTGGTTTTGGTGGTGGGAGGTAAAACTCGAAGTCAGTGGAGTAAGACATCTTTTTCATTGCTCAGTATTCTCCATTGCCAATCATTTGAAATGTACACTGGCAAGTCATATATTAGTATTTTTCTGCCATATCATAGCTTTACTGAAAATTCTTATAAAACCTGCTGCTTGCCTGAGGGAAGTTCTCCTTCTGTCCTTTGAGAATCAAAGAACAGTGCTAAATGTGTAATTTGATCTCTAATATGACAGGAAGATCGACTTTGTTATTCAATTGATTTTGTACTTGTTCAAACTTACTGCTCGCTATTCTGAATGGCTTTTTATTTTCCTATTGCTTCTTTTAATCCTCCACCTCATTACCACACTGCTTAAATTATTAAAGAGCATTCTGCTTAAACTGTTGTTTATAACTCGCTTTTTCACATCGGCTTGTTTTGCCCTTTGCCTTATTTAGATTTTGACAAATTACCATTGCTGTTTCTACACTGTTGCTTTTGATAAGAGTTTTATCAGGCTTGCTTTCTTCTATGAGAATGCTGTCAAATTTGTATGATAGTTTTATGTGAATTCCAATTTAATCCAGTTAATACGTTAATTCATATAATATTTGTTAACAACTGTATTTGGCTACATAATGTCCTTTATCTGTCTGCATCTGAACGGATCTTTCTCTGGCTTTTACGAATTCTGTTATTTTGCTAACTTACTATTCTCTTCGAAACAAGTAATTATAGTAGTTGAAAGAACTTCATAACCTTTCTTAAAAAATAAAATAATTTAAAAAAAAAAAATACTGTTCCTTAACCTTATCTTAAAAATGGAAAGAGAACAGTTTGGCTTAAAGTTTCCCTGCCTTGCCTTTTTAGTTTGCATCCAAAATCACCAGTGGGGCTGTTTGGAATTTGGTCTTTTCTTGGTTCCAAATTTCTGAAGAAATTTTAGCAAAGGCAAATGATCTTATGAGATTTTCATGCTTGGGCCCAAATTATTACACTTCATTCTAGTCCTGGGTGAATCATTCATGCTAACTTGGGCAAGGTTCAGATTGCGCTATTGGCCTTAGCACACCTCAATTCTCACTCATAGTCGTTTCCTGCAATGATGGAAGAATTTTCAGTGGTTCAAATCTTAATTTAAATTCAAAGAATGAAGAAGTTAGGATGGAGGAACCTCTTGGGCTTTCAAAAACAGGCAAAGCATTGGAATACACTGATTTCTTGTCATTTCAAGTGCTTCTTGAGTCTGTCCTAATTTGAAATAGTATACTAAGATTTTTTTTTCCTCATATTTCAGAGCACACTCACACTTGCATTATCTACGAAAATTAGGATATAAAATGCCCCCAAATAAGCTGACCTGAAAAAGAGATATTACTTTGCTATACAAAACCTTTCTTACATATATCCTTATACCATGACAGCTACAACAGGGACTCCTGAGATGACAGAGAATTTGTGACTGGGCAAGATGATATTTAAGAACTTCGCGTTATCACATACTATTACCATATCCAATCCTTTCAAAAAGTTGGTGCTTAGTCTGGTATTTGAAACTGCTTTTAGTTTTCTGTTCCAACCTACTTCTTTTATTTAATCGTGGTTTTTCTGTCTTCAAACTGACATTCAGTTTTCCATGAAAACCTTTTGATTTCAGAAATTTGCTCCCAGATGAGAATGAGACTTTCAAAAGGATGTGTTTGCAATTGGTAAAAATGACGTCTTCATTGCAGGTAGATGAAAGTGAACACAGAGAGAAAAAAATTCTGAAACAAAAAAATTTGGTTTGAATGCAAGTATTTAGCTTTTTTCCCCAACACTTTTTGTTGGATAGAAAATGAGAGAGAAGTCTACTTCACTGAATTACCAAATGTATTAAATGTATGCTTAATTGCTTTTGCTCTGCAGAAACACAGTCATAATGGTTGGACCATTCTGTTGATAAATGCATATAACATAGCATAAATAGAAATGGGCTACCTGATTGTAGACTGAATAAGCAGCGAGTCAACCAATTATTTGCCACTCAGTGTCACTGAAGGCTTTGTCGAAGAAAAGTGTGCAGCCTGTTTTTGAATTGCAACTTACATTTAAGATTTTGACTGTATGAATTTTGTGTATATATACTAACAGCAGTTCTTTATATATTGTTACTTAGTTATTTGCTAGCATTTTGGATGGTAAAAGCTAATTTAAAGAAAGCTGCTGGGCTTGCCTAGCTGAAGACATTTGAATTCTTGTGCTGCAACTGGTTTAATGAACTGTGTTTCTGTTTCTCTTGTCTGTTTTGCTGCAGAGCCTTTTAGTGCTTCTGTCTGGGTGATGATGTTTGTGATGCTTCTCATTGTGTCCGCCATGGCTGTCTTTATATTTGAGTACTTTAGTCCTGTAGGATATAACAGGAACTTAGCACAAGGGAGAGGTAAGCTTTGCGTTTTACACAACCCTAAAGCTATAAAAATCAATTATTTCCCATCCCTTGCCCCCCATCTTTTAAAATAAACATAACGTAGGAATAAGACAGTAAAAGGAGCTATGAAACTATGTTTGCTCTTCATTTAAAATATGAGTTCTTGAGGGCTTATGTGTTCATGTTTGTATTCTAATTAATTGGAATAAAGACATATAGAAGGGTAAGTGATATCAGAGAGTGTTGTATTCAGCCAGTGTTTGGTTAGTATACTGTATCAGTTGTAGAGTGTCAGCTTAAAAAAGGATTGGAATAAGTTCTACAGACTTCTGACTCTTACGAATTCATGGTTAATTCAGAGAAAATGACCTAAACTGATGTGGTTTGGTGGATAATCTGGAAAAGTAGCAGTTACGTTGTATATAGTTTTGTATAGTCCCTATAAAAAGTCTGATGAACTCAGCCTTGAAATGAGGCCAGCGGCAGAAGGGCATTGCTTCTTTCTGTGTAACATCCATGGTTATAGAAACTTCATTTTCAAAATATACCAGCACAACAAATTTAATACAGAGCTTGCCTTTCTTAGTGAAAGCTGCAGTTGTATATTATTAGCACTTTGAACTGAGAATGAGGATTCCATGTATTGTGGTGCCCTCATCCTTCCCTTTCTTTACTTACAGTTGAGAGTGCAGCCTGTTTTTAATTTCTAAATCATACTTGCCTCATTTTATAACGAGATCTTCCAGCTTGGTGGACACAGTTCTGGAGACTATTACAAGCTAATGGTTTCTTCTAGATTATGATTGGCTTGTTCCCTGAAAAAGGGGATTATTGTAATGTTCAGATGATGTTATCATTTCAATAAGATGGTAAACGTGTAACCTCTGTCCAAAATAAGCACTGTGTCTAGGAAGGGGAATCAAAGGTGAATATAGACACTGGGGATCTAGGGGCTAGATTATTTAGTACACTTACAGCTACAAAGGCATATTATGGCACTAGACCATCCTAACTTAGCTCTAGAGACTTGCCACGAGTCCAGCTGCCATTCATTTGAAACATGGGAAGCTTAAAATAAGTGGGAATCTTTATGTAGATTACTCCTTTCCCTAGGCATTTTTGGCAGGATGAAGCTCAATGGTAATACAAACTCCAGTAGCCTAAACAGACCTTTAGACTGCTTTCTTGGCATATACTTCCCTTATCATTGTTGCTCATAAAATACATATTATCCCTGTATCAGCTCAATCTCAAATGGCTGTAGAAGGTAGTTTCATAAACCAAGTCAGGTCAGTTGTGTTTATTTTACTGTGCTCTATCTTCTTATCAGTGCTGCAGAATTGAAAGAGGATAATCTAAGATGTTGTGCTCAGTTGCATTGTGAAAAATTTGCACTGTATTAGAGAGCATTTCTACTGAAATGAGAACATGCACTGAGATAGACACTTTGGGTTTTATTCTTTTAATAATAATTAAATCTTTATTAAAATAAATTATAATTAAATTAATAACTAAATCTGAGTTTGTAATGTGCATCCCCTCGGATAAAGGGACAGGGCAGGGAAGGAGGTAATATTACAGGTGTCTGCATCAAAGCTTATTGTCTGAATTGCCATTTAATTATAAAATAGATACTTATAAAAAGGTCAAATGAGTCACAGTCAGGGGAGGCCTGTTTCTTTCTATTGAGGATAAAGGGAGTCTAGATGATGAGCAATATGTGATGACTGCACTGTACTTACCTGGAGCTGGGTAAGAACAAACTTCCCTTTATTCTCATAGGGCTCTACAAATAAGGCCTTTTAAGTGGATAATAGCATTGCTAATCCACTTCTGCCACTATGTGGGCGTGAGGGCATCATGCTGACCACTTCTTCTTGCTTTGGGATGAATTAAAAGCTGACTGAAAACAGGAATAACAAAAATTACAGAATAGATTATCTGGGATGGGTTTTTGCCTGTAATGCCAACACATTTGAAGCCACGGAACTGACTCTGAACATGTGAGGTAGCCAGAGTTTCATTTGCTCTCAGTTACGTATTTCTACAGGTAGCTCGTTTGTGTTGACTTAGTGATTTATTCTCTGAGTGTAAAGTTGCTTAAAAGTAGGTGATGTATTCATACATTTTGATCTTAAATATGCCTACATAAAGTTCAAAAAGCACGATGTTGGAAGACTGGAGGTGGTAAACAATAATTTGGGTGAGAAAAGTACTAGAATTGAATCATTAAGACTTAAACCCACAGTTTTCCTTTTACATGTTTGCTGGCACAGGAGACTGAAAGGGCCAGTACTATGGCACATATCTTACTGCAAGAGACACCAGTTTGCTTCTCCAAACCTATGCTTTCCATTTTCATGTTAAAACTTTTGAACTAAATGCCACGTAGAAAAATGTTGAATTATTTTTTACAAATATGGAAATTAATGTCATTACAATAGAGAACACCTATGGTAAATCTTGTGATTCCATTGGGAGTACAGTGAGTATGTATTGAAATATTTTTTTTAACCATGTCTTTGTGACTAATTTGTTGTTATTATGTAGGGTATCTTGCCAAGGTTTAATTTAACTGCAACTAAAATAACTGCTCTTTGCAATTACAGATCCCCATGGACCATCCTTTACCATTGGAAAGGCAGTGTGGTTACTCTGGGGCTTGGTATTCAACAACTCTGTGCCTGTGCAAAACCCCAAAGGGACGACAAGTAAAATCATGGTGTCGGTTTGGGCTTTCTTTGCTGTCATTTTCCTGGCTAGTTATACTGCCAACTTAGCTGCATTTATGATTCAAGAGGAATTTGTTGACCAAGTGACTGGACTGAGTGATAAAAAGGTAGGTCTTCAGCTCAAAAGAGGTCAGTGTCCATTCTTCATAATCCTTCTACAAATTCGTACTTTGTGTTAAAAAAAACTCTGAGCAGGATAATAAGCTAAACCTGGATGATTTCATTCTGAGTGTAACCCTTTAGTAACAAACTTAAGACCCAAAGCATGAAAATATCAGACTGTTTTCAAAGTCTTTGAGTTGCCTTTTCAAAAGTAACTGCATTAATTGAAAAGTACCTTTATTTTGTGATGGAAATCAATTCCTGTTTGATTAAAAGGAATGCTTCACCAATATACAAAAGCTTGAAGAAAGAAAAAGTCAATTTGAATGCAGGGAAGGCATATTTAAAATTATTTGAACATCTCTGTGTGGAATATTAATAATATATTAATTGACAAAATATTCATAAAACTATCCAGTAATTATCGGAAGCCAGTTTATGCTCCTGAAAAAATGTCTTTTTGCTTTTTGTGCAAGGAAGTTATAGAAAGAGTTCTGATTTAAAGTGGTGCCAGCACAAATAAGCAAAGAGAAACTATAAAAAGTGATACATATTGTCTTGGATGTTTGAATGTTTTCCTTGTATAAAATGGCAAGACTAAATAGGAAAAATAAACAGATAAGAAAATTTGGAGTTGTGTGTTATCACATTGAAGTGAGATGTAAATTGCATAGGATAAGGTGCAGAATTTTGATGTGTTTGTGGAAGATGCTTTCCTAATTCAAAAGCTTTTGTGAGAATTTCACCTTGAGCAGTGGACTCTGATAGTTCACTTAAACCCTACTGAAGTTTCACACAAACTCGCAAATAATAAATATGCTTATTTTTCATATTGCTCTAGCTTGACTGAACTTTCTTCTGCTGAAAGTATACTTCCTGGATCTTTGTACTTGTGAAGTTAAATCAATAGTCTTATAAATCAGAAACCTAGCAATTACTTCTTTTTTATTTCATTTGTGTGACTGCTTTGTAATAGTGGTATTGGATAGAGGGATTGAAGTTCATTTGCAAAATTATTGTTGTGATGGATATGCACAAAATGCATGAAGGACATGCCGTTTTCAAGTTTGTGCCCAGTTGTTTTAAAATGAAACTACATATTGACATTAAGAAGTAGTATTTAAACAGAGTATAGCACAGGGGAGAACTTCACAAGGGATTTTTCTTGAAGGACAGAAAATAAATGAAATTGTTGTTCAAAAGAAGGCAACAGCTCAGATAGCCTTGTGTCTGTTTTTTGTTTTAACTGCTTTTTATGACCAGCCTTTGATTGATGTCCTGAAGTATCAAAGCATGAATTGCAAGCATGGTTAGAGGAAAGACAGATAAAAAGAAACAAAAAATGATAGTAGTTTTGTTTTCATTAAGTTGTGTTGTCGCAAAACCTTTGAAAGAGTATGAAGACTGTTAAATATACCTCTATTTTAAGATAATATTCTTAGTAGGAGACAGATAAAAGGTATTCTTCTCTTGAGGATAAAAAAAAAAAAGGATTTGAGAAATGTCTTCCTCCTGTTTGTGAGAAAGTACAGAGCATTTTCCTGGGAAGTCTTGGTTTTGGCAGGATTTGGCTTGTACCTGGCACAGCACCAGCATTCGGGTCTGCCAGTGCACCCTTATCTTCCTCTCTCTGCTGGCTGTTTGCCACTCTCACCCATGGGCTGGGAAAATGTCGGTATTTGTTCTGTAGCTTTGGCTAATAACTTCCTTATTTTTGTCATTTTTTTATTCTCTCTGCTAAGGAGGATTTTCATTCCACAAAAAGCAAAATAAAAATAGAAAAATACTTGAATCAGAAAATACCATCTGTTTTTGTTGGTCTGCTGATCATTTATTTGATCTGCCACCTTTGTTTTTATTTTACAGTTCTTCAAATTTTGCCTGAAGCATATAGAGATAAATCAGGGGAGCCATGCCTTTTCTGATTAAATTAAACAAGCCAGAAGTCCAGAAAAGCAGTGATCTATTTCAAAACATTCTTCTTGCCATACACAGGTTTTACATCCTCCACAATCCTGAGGTTTCTTGGATTTTAAAAATTCAATTAATTAAGGATAATTTATGGGAATATAATCTGATTTATGTTAAATTATTTTTCTCCCCTCTTTGCCTTGTTGCTGCAATGTTGTTAGTAGGAGAACAGTTCAGGAATTTGCAACAACTTTACTGCTGTTCAGTAAAGAACTCTGAACCTTGCTGCAAGCAAAGCGGTAATAGGCAAAGGCCAGTGAGAAGGAACCAAAGTATGGGTCAAATTAATTATAAATAAGTAATATCTAGAAGTGCAATAAATTTTTGAAAAAACTTCTGGGCTGGTAAATCAGTTTACTATACTTCCCCTCTCCCCTTTTTCCTACTGCCACAACTGAGGAGTCGAGCTCTTTTGTCAATGCTGTATTGTCAATGCAATAAAGTATTCCCAATTAGAGATAGTGGGTTTTCTAAATCCAGTTCCATATATGATAGACTATAGAGAAGAGAAGCCAGGAAAAAACCCTTCTCTCTCTGAGCAGTCATCCCTGACCCTCAGCATTCAATATTTTCCCATTCAGGAAATGTGTTACACTCTGGCATCTGGTTCACCAGGTTTGCTGAACACATGATAAGGTGCTATTTACCCTCCTTCACTTTAAGACCTCTTGATAGTTTCCTCAACCTTCATAATGTTGCTAATGAATTTCTGCATGCCATGTCATCTATGTGTCACCCAGAAATACATGGCACAGCATGTACTGGAGTTACTAGGGGTGGGTGTTCATAAACTCAGATGATTCAGAAAATGAGAAGGAAAATTATATTTTGACATTCTTGTGTATGTAAAAGATTTTTAAAAGCTTTGTGTTCATAAAAAGGTACAGAAAATGAGTCCAAATGTATCCAGCAAAGCTGGTATTCGTAGCACTTGTTACTTTTGAGACCATTTATGCCTTTTTCATATAATGAAAGAGCAAGAAGATTCCTAAAGGAGAGTAGATAGAGTAGACAGCAGTGGACAGAATTGTCTTGCAAAGCGTTTATCTGCTGCGATTCCTCTACACAGGCACATTTTAAGAAATGCCTCACGTGCATGTGATCTAGGGGATTCTCTTCAACCTTAATAGGAAGCCTTAATTATGCCATTTACAGGTTCCTTATTTTTGCATGATTCAGAGTATTCTTGTAACCAGGCTTTATATTTTTGTGCAATAAAATGTCACAAGTTCTATAGTTACTTAGAGAAAACAGAGCAGGCTGAGGTCAAAAGGCAGCATGGATGATGGGGTAGTTAGGGTGACCCTCTCACCCCAGTCAATCTCTCCACTTCAATATTGGACCTTACAGTGCTTTTTGAGGGTTGTCAGGCATAGATATCAAATGTATTTCAGTAACTGATGATTATAATAATAGTCTTGGAATTACTAATAGCTATATTTTTCAAACATCAGAAATCAGATTGTCAGTGTTTTCCATCTTGTAAAAGAAGAAATGAGAGAGTTCAAATATGAGTGTTTTTCTATCACTCCAAACCAGCCATAATTCCTGTTAAAATCTGTGTTAGCAGAGGGAGAATATTTACTATTTTCTACTATTATAGTAATGTTTTCCACAGTTCCTTAAAATACTCCAGAACAATAACAAACAACTGCTCTGAATACCAGCTTTTTCAGGCAAGCATGCAAATCTTCAGATTCAGTCAGTGTTTAATGTTTGTGAAAGATCACTTTACGGGCTTAATGAAATTGTCAGTTTTATTAAGGCATATATGTAAAACAAAATAAAAGCAAAAGATTGGAGTTTTGTTGCCATGTGCCACAGTTCTAGCAGCTGGCAGAGCATGGGGAAACAAGAACAAATTGGTTAGTCTTCTGAATAACAGTAGATCTCGCCACAATTATGATTCAAGCAGGGGGCTTGTGCATTCAACTTAAGGATTTTATTAACGATTAAAAAAAATCAGCATTTCAGAAAATGTCTAGGAAGAAAATTGTTTCCTTGCAGACATGATATATTTTATTTCCCATCATGGGGCTTCAGGGAAAATTAGTGCATGTAGAGACTTGATCCTTTTTTCTTTCTCGTCTCATGCCTGCCACATAGATCTTTGCTGCAATCACAGAGCCTATATGCTTCTCCAGGACATGTTAGTTCACAGAATACAAGTTCAAAATTATTGATGAGAACTTTATACACCTTAGATACAAGTGCACTGTTAGTAAAAAGATTTTGAACCCTTTCTTTCTTCTTTACAAGTAGTCTGTGAGCAGGCAGTAGTAGCAGACAGCAGTTTTAAAAAAATTATCTCCCCGTGACTGTTAAAATTTGTTGGTTGGGTGTCTTGTGCCAAGAAATTCCAGTCTGTGGGTGGTGTGTCGAACTATTCTCATCTGCTTGTTATCCCTGTGATCTTTGAATGAACTACTACTTTTTATTAATCTCTGCTCTCCTGCAGAAATATTTCTGTGTTCCATGAATGTTCAATTTGGGACAGATCCCTCAATTCCTCCAACTATTCCTATGGGAGGAAACTCCTTAAACTCACATTAATGTTCTTGAAAAGTGAGAATATTCAGAACCAAACTCCATTTCTAAATTACCAGGATATTCCACCATAATCTCCCTTTTCCCCCAGTTCCCCTGCCATACCCCAGGACTAGGAATTGAGCTTGCAGAATGGTCACCACAGCTGAATTTCCAAAAAATGTCAGCTGCATGAGCAGCAGCAATTTTTACAGGTCTTCAAATCGACGTTGTTTCTTTAATTATTTTTTCCAGTTCTATTGACTGGAAAATTTGATACAGACATTGGGAGATATTGGAAGCCATCTCACTACTTCAGGGATTCATTATCTGTAGATCTAAATAAAGTTAATAGGAAGCTACATCTGTATCGGTAGAATCTCTGGACATATATTTAAGAGCAGGGTTTGTTTCAGTGCTGCATAATGAACTCAAAAAAGCAGACAGCAAATACAGACTAAGAACCATGACTAGTATACAGCGTAATTTTAGTGCATGGGTCAATTAGTATGTGTAAAGTAGTAGCAAAGTAATAATTTAAACAGTAAAGCTGTGAAAAGGGAAAATGAGAAAAGTAAGACATCTGTTAGCTAAACGAATAAAGAAGAGTTCATTCCTTTATGTGTTGTCAAAATATGCTTAATTAAAATGAAGCATTTAATCGTAGTTCTGTAACATGAAAATATTGTTGCAGCAATAATTTCATAGTCAAGGTTTGATGGAATTGAAAATACTCCCAGTTTTTGTATAAGCCTATTTGTATTCTCTTTGCAAATTGGCACTGGATCCTGGGAATTCTTGATGCCCTGAGACCAAACTTTAAAAAGAGAAGTATTACATATGTAGCCCAAAGCAAGCAGCAGCTGTATAAATATTAGCTGTCTCTTGCAGCACAGGGTATATAGATTGCTCTTCTAACTGCAACAGTAAAAACAGGGTGCATTTTACCGTGGAATTCATGGGTGACTGCTTTTATCAATGCTCAATTGAATTTCCTCATTAGCCAATAGTTCCTCTAGTTTGAGTGGCCTTTTTCATTTATTTCTTAAAGAGACATTTTAACTTAATCCTAAAGTGTCACTTGGTATTTAAAGGGAGATATTGAAAAGGCACATATAAAATTTTCAGGTCTGTTAGCAAAAGTTTATGTCAGGTTATCTGAATGATTTCCAAATCTGAAACCTGAGTGTGCCCTGAGTAATTGCTATTCCTTTGCAGATAGTCCCTGGCTGGTTTGTCTGTGCTGATGCAAGAGTGATGCACAGAGGGTAAAATTGTAGAATAAACCTATGTGCCCTCAAGCAAATGGTTTGTAGTTTTAAATTGTAGGAATAAATAGGTACTAGGATTGTAGGTGTGAGAGCTCCAGAAGCCCTTTTCGTGTCAAGTGATGTAGCTGCTGAGCCCCTGGGGAACTTTCATTCCCCTTGAGTCACGGCGGTGGAAGGAAAGCCAGCCCTCACCCTGTCCCTCCCTGCGCACAAGCTTCCTGCAATGACCTGCACCCCTCCGGGAGCAGTGCGTTAGGCTCCCTATCAAGTAGTGCAAATGATCATTTGCCGCCTTCGTGTGGGGACCCACAATGTCTCAACAAAATCAACAAAATACTGTTTTCTTTCGATTGCTGTTTACCAGTGTGTCTGCTTGTAATTTGGGTTCTCTAGGGAGATGTTGGCAGATGAAAAACATCTTCCAGTATCTTTCTGCTCCAGTTTCCGCTGTCCTGCCATATTACAATGCATGGGAGAAAGTCACGTTACAGTGGCAAAACTGAGCTGTTTTTACTTTGGATGTAGATGTTTCTGTAAGTTCAGTCAGTGTGAAGACAGTTTCTGGTATAATAGAGCTGAATTAACCCACAGCATTTGCCTAGAAGAAATTTGAGGCAGCTTATACAACTTCTGTTTTTTTCAACCTGAAATTGCCCTTCTTCACATTTTGAATGCCTGAAACACTTTGCTTTTCCCTTTTCTCTCTAGTTTCAAAGGCCATATGATTATTCACCTCCTTTTCGATTTGGAACGGTCCCAAATGGAAGCACAGAGAGGAATATTAGAAACAACTACCCTGATATGCACCTCTACATGACAAAGTATAATCAGAAAGGAGTTGAAGATGCCTTGGTCAGCTTGAAAACTGGGTAAGCTTTTTTCCACAGATTTTAAAGAATACTATAGGCTTTGCAGAAACTGAGAAATATTGATCTGTACTGTGATACTGAACAGACTGATGTCAGGCATGCTGTGTAGTACATGGCTCTTTTTCTTTTTTCCCCAACTGCACTGTACAGATATCAGAAAGGAAAACGATTGCCTGTGATTTAAAATATTTAAATATTTTAAAATTGCATGGAAGCTTCGATGTCCAATGTAGAATAGATTCAAAGGGCAGAATTAGTATTTCTCAAATTTAAATAGAGATGATACAGATGGACCTGGATTTGGGTGGGGACTCAACACAGAACATGGTGTTTTGTACAGTCCCTCCTTATATTTGCAGAACTCTCTCTCGTAGGAATGTGCTTTCGCAGGGTGAATTTCTGACAAAGCTTGTTTGTCAGGCCAGTGTGCAACTAGTTGTCATTTCTTTTCAACCTCCCATCCCTTTGGTATGCTTTTAGGTCCATGCTTACATTTTCTTCCCTCCTCTAATTAGCATGGCCCTGTACATTTACTGTCAATCTGAAGTATTGACTTTGATCTTCATAAAATCTGTTGAGATGAGATAGTCTTAAATGTACTGTCTAATCCTGCTTCTGGCAATCTTGGTAAATATTCTGGCAAATATTATTGTCCTTCTTCCTTAAGATCTGAGATTTAGACTTGAGTGCCATCCTTTTCTCTCTCTGAAGTAGCCTGTTCTGCCTGGTTGGACAAAGAGACTGAATTTTCATTCTTAATCCTCAAAAGGTATGAGAATGACTCACTACTTGTATCAGTATTCATCTGGGTAACAGGAATGTGTTACCTCTAGTAATCTTTTCTAAACATATAGGCTTGATAATAGCATGTGTATCTTTGTTAATAATACTGGATTACAATAATCATAATTTATCAATATAGTTTGTTTAGGTTTGTTTTGTTTTGAAGTGAGAAGGCTAAGTTACCCATAGTGGATTTAAGTACATCTACTCTAGTGGCTGTTTCAAGGCACATCTCGCCTGCTATTATAATATTTATGATGAACACAGGACACATTTCTTCCTATACTAGATTAAGCTGTTACTTTTGGTCCTTTTTTGGGAACTGCTTGTCCTTTTAATTTTTACTCTCCTTCTCCCAAACACGTAGGGGATTGTAACGTATTTCTTATGCGAAAAACCCTGAAGTCCCCAAATCTTTCCTTAGAGTGCAGGTTCCCTTCTTTAAAAAGTTATCCTTCCTACTGTTTCCTTCTCTGCTGTCTCCATGTTTCTGTCTGGACTCCCTCTGTCGTCATTTCTCAAGGCATTCTCAACTGGCATTTCTCAAGCACCGTTTGTCCCATCCTAAGATAGAGATGTGACGTAATGTGAGATGAACCTCACCCAAGGTCTTCCAAACTGGAGGCAGAGCTCCTGCTCCTACTGAGCCTGTGCAAGTTATATGTCCTGGGTGACAGCTAAATTACGCATTATAGACAGTCAGCTGAATGCTACCTTTCCTGCTGTGATTTTTTTAAAGAAGCTATCCATAATTTCAGCCACTGCTAGGGCTTGTTCAGTTGGATGGTTAGTTTATTTAGGGGACGTATATTCCTTGTACTTTTCACCAACCATTTGTGCTACTGAAAGCCCTGAAAATCTGCTGTTAGCTTTAAAATCAGGCCACCTGTCAGACATTTAAGCATGAAAAGGGGGAGCTACCTGGCTGCAGGGGAGTTCAGGACATTCACTAAAACTCAGGCTGGCAGCTCTTGTGCCAGCTGCTGCTCTTCCTCAGAAGCTTTAGTCCTTTTGACAGCATAAACTATTCATTTTTTGTAGATTGGTTTTTTCCCCCCCGCTGGAGGTTCTTTCCTCTTCTAAGTGATTTCTCAGTGTGGACACCCCCAGGTGTCTACCTTGCTCCCTTTGACTGACATTTCTGTAGCAGATGGTGCAAATAAGCTGCCATGTGCAGTGTTTTCCAGATCAATATAAGTAACTGCTACATAGAGCTGCTCTCCTTAGTATTTTGTCTGATGGCACCTACAGAAGGATTAAACAGCATGCCATCAGCTGCTGAAGTTTCCCCACAATAGAAGTGTCACTTTATGTTTGCTTGTATCACAGGTTTGGACATTCCAGCAGGAGAGTGTGTCAAGTGGGCTTACGTATTTTCTGCCTTCAGCTTCTGCAGAGGAAGAACTGTGCAAAGACCCAATCAATGTGGTAATAGGGCACTAAACTCGGTTACAGATCAGGCAGCATGATTGTACCTTCTTTTTGCCTCAGAGTGGTTTCTCTCTGGAAAGATGATTTCATTTAGATGACCAAACCGATCAGGCTCTGTCATCCTCACCTGTCACTTGCACCTTGAGCCCACCCAGATTTTCCTTTTTGCTAAGATGTTTGGTGAGGATGCAGTTCCCGTGGCTGACACCTCAGGGATCTCTGGAGCTAAAAGTGTCCTGAATGAAAGAGATGAGACTGTATAATATGGGACTGTAATAACTTGCATTCTCTGTAGGGAGGAGAATAGAAAAGCATGAATAGGTATTTGGTAGTGTATTACAATTGACTCCTTGGCTCTTCAGTTGATGATTAGCTCTTGAATGGGAATCAAGGAGTCTCGGTTGGTGCGATATTGCCGCCGGTGTACCGTGGTGGTAGCGATTGGCACTTGTTGGTCTTCGACCTTCAGCAACCCCACAACAGAGGGGTCCTCCGAGAGACCAGGCAAGGCAGACAGCTGTTTAATTTCCTCCATCTCCAAGGCAGCTATACCAAAAGCCCACCGGTACCCTTTTGG